CTTTGGAAGAATGTATGAGGTCGAACTGGAAGATCTCACAGTGGAAGTAGACGCAGAAACTGCTACTAATCTTCAAGATGGTTTGTTATTCCCACTTTTGATATCAAATAGGTATAGGTACATATCTCAAGTTTGAAAAATATCAGATCCAGAATACGCCAGGTAATATTTGCAGGCTATCAGGAGCACATAACATTGTCCTAGCAGTCGGCTTGGAAATCATGGAATATCAGATCATGCAAACCGAAATGCAAACAATCCAACAGGAGGTCAGTGTCACAAGTAGAATACATTATTCATATCTTCAAATCCCATTTAACAATTTTCAGGATCCTCTGATAAGACATCATTCAGGTGGAATCATAAATCTATCTTATTTTTACTGGATTCATATAGGGAATGTGAACATAAATTTGAGAACGGACAATCTAAAGAGGGTTGGAAATTGATTTTCTCCACCCTTGATGAAAGTGGCATCAAAGCATCAGCACAACAATGTTGTGTCAAGATAAATACAATGAAATGGCGTTTCAAGTCCATTAAAGATACCCAATCCAAAACTGGGTCTTTTCCCACTACTTGGGAATAGTACTTGCGGTATGTATCCAAACTATTTCCACATAATGGAATGATAATAAAAAATGTATATACATTTTGTATGTTTTTTCTTCAGGAGATGTCTAACATAAATGATAAAAAGTCTTGGTCAAAACCTTTACAAGGGGTATATCTTCTTCATCAGTAAATAAACTGGACATGGCTGAACCTCAACCAGGTAAGTTGAAATAATCAATTCAAATCATATCTGGGATAACATAGAATTACATACTTCTTGTGAAGAATATATTTTCTCCCAAACAAATGCTGAATAAAATGTGGATTATCTGGTGAGAATTCCTTATCCCATAGGTTGCTCTGAAGACACACCAACTAGGAACAAGGAAATCAGTGTTGAAGAAGTATTAAATGATTTGAAAATGGAAAGGCTGAGGCGGGATGAAGAGAAGAAAAGAAGGGTAGAAGAAAAAAATTGGCAAAGAGAAAGGCTGGAGAACAGAAAAGATCAGAGACATATGGAGAAAATGGAATTGAAGAGAGAGTTTCTAACAATTTTGAAAACAAGAATCTGATAACTGAAAATAGAGATATAACCTACACAGGGTGTTATTAAATTTGACTGCTTCCAAGGTGATAGCCCTAATGATTTGATGGTTTAGACATAAAACATAAAGACCTCATGTAGTTAATTGTTGTATCTGGATTCTGGAGAACAACATTCCAAGTCCTCAGTCTTAATAAAATCATAAGGGTTAGCAGCTGTGGAGCTTTGTTGGTCGAATTTCCATTTACTTACTGTATTTCAAAAGTTTTGAGATTGAATAATGGTTCTTAGTTCATGTTCCTACTTATTCACATGAAATGTGAAAATTCATTTTGTTCTGTTATTTTTCATAGTTTATAATAAATGAGTTCCATTTGATATCATTCAATGATTATTATTAGTTGATCCTAATAAAAATGAAAAAAAACAACATCCAGGTCCTTTTTATACTTGGACCAACAGGCTTAAAAAAACACTGAATTCTGAAAGTCATTTTATTTATATTACAAGGGTACATTGTAATTTGTGCACAGAACGAAAAAGGTACGTTATATTAATAAAAAAGTACATCAAATCAGTGAACGTCAACATTAATTTTGGGCCGATGACGGGTTTCATTAATACAATGAACGGTCGTACGTAAATTTTCTTGTTGATTGAGTTATGACTGCAGTACGTTGAATCAACGAATAATGGTCATCGATCTATGTTTGCCGGTGATTGATATTACGAATGGATTTACATTGGTTCATGGTTGTTGTACATTGAATCAATAAACAGCGAGCATGGATCTATGATGATAAACATTGGTTTATGGTTGATGTACATTGTATCAATTAACAGTGAGCATGAATATGTAAGTGCCAGTTACGAAGGACAGACTCAGTTTATCACAGCTGAACATTGAATCAATAATCAGCTAGCATGGATCTATGATCGGCGGTTATTGATATTACGAACGATAGACATCACTTGATGATTTTCTTCATTGAATCAATGAAAAATGAGCATGAATCTATGTTCGACAGTTATAGATGTAACGAACAAATTCTATTGGTATTTAACAGTGGTATAGTCGTCGTCGAAGATAATGTTGTCAACAGTATCGTCACTATCAGTAATAAGGGGACAATTTTTTCACGCATCAGAGTAATTAATTTCTAAAATTTTGAAAAACCCAAAATCGGCCCAAAATTATCTAGTACATCCACTGATTTGATGTGACCTGATGAATAATATAATATATACATTTACAAGGCAGTCGCAGAACACTGATGGTTTTCTTAATGAAATATCATTTTTTTTTGTTGAAATCTACCTAATTGTATTGAATAACAAATGTAATGAATATTTTTTAATGAAGTCAACTAAAAATGTTTCTGAAATGTCAAAAATACACTGAATGATCGAAGACTGATAAACTTGGACGATATTCAAAAAACAAATATTCGCTCACCTTATACATTTTTTGTCGGAATAAACAAATTTTGCCCTTTCCATTCATTATAATATAATTATAACTAAGTATCTGATAATAAGGGAAATGTTCCACAGAAATCTCTGCTATAATTCAATCACAAATAATACCAGTCAGACGAACTCGACAGGCCCAGTCAGCACATTCTTTCTTTGTTAACTTTGAAATATGTTGAACTACACTCTACCAAAACTCGTTCGTCCATAGAACGGCGAAGCTTTGGAATTATTTGCCAATGTAAGTATTTTCAAGAACTAATAACCTCCCTATACAAGACAGCGGAAATTTTGTCAAATCAGGCAAAATACTGATCTGAACACCTAATTAACTTGATTTTCATTTTCTGTAGAAAATAAAATGATAACAATGTGATGACAATAACCAGTAGTTGTAGAAAGAATAGTACCTTGTGCATCCCACGAGTACCTACCCAGCAAACATTTTGATATGGGTACAACATAATCGACACATTGAGTTGCCCATAGCAAGCCCAGCATAAACAGAAATGATGGGACTGTAATGGCCAATTAACGACATTGGTTACATATTAACGAGGTAGGGGGAGGGGTAGGAGGAGGGGTAGAGGGAAGGGTAGGGGTTTCAGGGGTCCAATTGATCTGGAAGTTCTAGTAACTCAATATATTTTTTGATGTTTATCATCATATTATATGAAATAGACACATACCAGATTTCAAGGAAATAATTTATGAATGACACAATGATATCTTCTTAACCTCTCTCTTCTTCCATGATAAAACTCCTCAGAGTGACTGCTTACCGGCTGGTATATCTACATCTTCATCTTATTTGGGAAGCATTCCTCCAAAATAGATTCTTCGTTGCGAGGTAGGTACTTCTGAAATATTAAATTCTTCATAAGTTATCATGAAGTGGCCTTTCTTGATGTCAGAATTCTTTCTTCATAGAAGTATGAGAAACAAAATACTCTGTTACATGAGTTCATAACTTGATCAATATATAGTCTGATTACGTGATATATACTTACATATGGAGGCACAGGCCTTATTGTTATTCACTTCAATGATAGAGACAGGTTTCCATAACCAAATATTACTTCTGATAGTAACGAACCAAGCAGTCCATGATAGTTACGCTTCTGGAGAGGTAGGAGCCACTACAATTATTATCATCACAAACACATGCATTTCATAACAAAATTTGGAACACTAGATAGGTAGATTGATACTTACTCAATACATATTATCATCATTGAAGAATCCATCTTCTATATTATCAATTGAGAATACTCCTGCCACCATAACTGCCATTATAACGACCAGGGAAAGTGATGAGCACAATGATATGACAACAAACCAGAGAAAAACGAAACATACGCTATCACTAGAGTGACATATAATAATTATCCAAATGATCAGCTGATTGTTGATGTAGACGTTCCCAGAAAATCCCCCAGTGGGACGAGTAGTGAACAGGATATTGGCCAGCAAGGGGCCACAACTCGTTAGTGCTCAACTCGTTCTATACATCATACCATCACAAGGCCATCATCGTATTTTCAACTGATGGTTACTTAGCATAGAGAAATCATCGGACATCACCAATACACCGGCATCGACACTTTCTCACACTTGCTTGCACTAGGCCGGAATTCCCCCGGTAGTTCAATGTTTGCTGAGTTAATATATCCTAATCGTAAGAATTGTGAAAAAAGTAATTCAAAATTAACAGGACTCACCTTTCTCAAATATGTTAGGTTTAGTATCCCATTGATGTGGCACAATTTCACAAATAGGTAGGAATTCTATACGAGCCACAGAAACACAAAACACGACCCAGCACTTTCAACTTTTCATTAACAACTGAACGAATAGAAATAAAATAAAATGGCAAATGAAAAATTCACCGCGTATTATGAAACCTTTTCATAGTATTAATGTTTGGCGTGATTGATCCATGGGTAGGCAACATTAATTTGGCGCCTGTTTTGGAAGTTGATGTTTCATTTCATAGTATTAATGTTTGGCGTGATTGATCCATGGGTAGGCAACATTAATTTGGCGCCTGTTTTGGAAGTTGATGTTTCATTTCATGAAATCAACGTTTAGTGTTCATTGAAACAATGAAGACCATTCATTATTTTCTTATGTTTGTTGTTGATAGATCCATGACGAAAAGTTTATTGCTCCAATGATGAAAAACATAGATCAATAAACATAAAACGTTGATTCAATGAAGTTTTTCATCACATGAATTAAAAAAATGATTAACTTTTGATGTTTCTCGTTCATTGTTCAATGTTGGCTCGTTCATTGTTTCAGTGTCTTGCGGTATGAACCCATCATCAGAAATTATTGTAATAATCATCGATTCGTAATATTAATGTTCAAAAAATTGACGACCGCCGTTCATTAATTTTACGTACAAAATTATTTTCTGTGTGGAATAAAGGCTATAATAGTACATACATTTCATTACAAGCATAATATTCTCAAATGTTTTCAGCTCCAAAAGCCATCATCAGCATTAATTTCTGAAAGTGAATGAAAATTTTAACAAGTTAGTGGAAATTATCAAGAAACAAAAAATTATTACTTTACTATATAACTTTCATTCAGAGTTTGTATTATTCTACTTGCTTTCAGAAAATTCTCCTGATGATGGCTTGACGCTGAAAGTTTGAGAATTTGATGTAATAAATAAGTAATTTCATTCATAGCTCACCAGGCCAAATATGCCTTGTAATTATATCCCTTTTGTGCTGACCAGCAACTGCCCAGAAGTTATTATTGTTTGGATTTGGGACATCAACTTGAATATTGTCTTCATTGATAATGAACATGTCTCATAATACAAATATTGTGCAGGACACAACATGCTAACACATATTTTGGGATGAACTGAACACCCGTTAATGGGCAACAATATAAAATCCTCCTAAATCTGTTCTTCAGGAATCCAAATGCCCTCTCGATATTTACACAAACAGAGGAAAGGCTGGTGTTGAAAAACATCTGTTTTTCTGATAGATGTCCATTATTTCTATATGGTACCAATAGATGCCTATGAATTGTGTATGCACTATCACCAACTAGGTGACTATCTTCTGGGAAATATGTGTCTGGATCATTCAAGAAAGCAGATACCTCAGATAAACTTAAGTCCCTCTGATCATGAACAGATCCACAGTTTCCGATGTAAACGTGGGTGATCACACACTGCCTAAAATAACATATATGTGAAAAATATGATAAGGAATAGGTCTACTTTGTATTTACTTGCAGTTGATTGGAACAAATATGGTGTCTATTTTCAAAGGAATTTCCATCTATAGATGGTTTAGTTATATTGATGTGGCAACCATCTATTGCACCTATAATTTTTTAAATTGGTCCTTTATCAATGAATCCATTCCAAATTACAGCAGCATCAACCCTATTCATAGTCCATTTGATGAATTTAGGATCCAGTTGACAAATATTATTCACTACTCTTCTGATTGTATGAAAACCAGTAGCCTTTCCTACATTGAATTTTTCACAAATAGACCTTGAATGGATACTTATATGAACACATAGAAAAGTTACAATAAGTAGTTACCTATAGGAGTCTGGTGTTGCCATATACCACAAGGCAAATAGAATTTGATGTTCTAAAGGAATTTGGAATCTTCCTGGCCCATCTGAATGTCCTATTTTTTTCCTCAAACACCCCACCAGGAAATGAAATGTATCAGGAAACACTCTGAAAGTATAACTTTGAAAACACTGCATTGCCTGAAAATGCCTTGCTCAGTACCTAAAATGTTGTCTGAAAATGTCTGGAGTGTAATGCAAAATAACATTTCCAATATAATTCTCAATTCTAGGAATTCTCTCGACAGGTCCTCTAATCTTGTTCACGATAATGATAGCATTCAGAGAATGATCCATTTGTTCCTCACTGGAACTTGAGGTAGTAGAGCTTAGTGTTTCTGATGAATCAGAATCACTATCGGATAATATTCCTCCTAAGAAAATATGATTTACTGCTGCACCCATAATTTCAACGTGAGTAAACACGAGATGAAAAAACCTCGAAATTCGATAATCGAATACGGTTATGTTTTGCTGCCTGTGTACTACTGACAAAATCGTTCCGAAATGAAATGAAAATTCGAAACTACTGCTACTGTTTAGTGTTCCTAAATTGCTTACTGTGACCAGTAATGTCAGCAATATCGGAACATGAGGCATAATGATCGGCGAGGCCTGCATCGACCACCTCTGAGAGCTCCCTTGGAGGGTATTTCTGTGACGTATCTAAGTTAGTGTTCTACATTGTATGTTTTACATTGTTATCATGTCCAATGTCTTCTTTAGAAGATTTCTGTTCATACACCTTGTATTGTTAACATGCTCTCATTGAATAAATGGAATCGAAACGAAAGTTCAAGAGAAGGTGAACCTGTAAAAAAAACATTATCAATATCGAAATAGACTATATAAATAGAGCAGTTGGAATGGGTCAGAATATAACTGGTCACCCGGTATTTAATGAGAAAATCCTCTCGTAATATAGATACTCCTAGATGAATAGACAGGTTGTTTCTGCTGAACCGCACTTCAGACGTACTCATTTTGAATTCTAAAAATGACACTGATCCGAAAAGATTACAAGATTATCGATAGAGTCCTGGTCCATTAAAATATTTCTGCACTTCCGGTTATATATATCAACCTCGATATTTTGAATGAACAGCTATTTTTCATTTGTTTCCTAGATTGATAATTTTCGTCAGCCTGTATTTCTAAGTCTAGCCGTTTCGAAAACTATTGAATTTGTTGAAATCATTCAATTTAATACTTCCTGTTTGAAATTTTTTTAAATTTGGGTGAAGATTTGTTAAAGTCGAGTATCATTTTTTTATGCGAAATCAGTTGGAAAAACACATCACCGCAAGCCGTCGGTCCCTTTGAAAGTTCAAAGAGTGCGGCAGCGCGGCTCGACATTCGTTTGATGATATGTTCAACTGACTTTGCATAAACCATCATAAACTATACCCTCAACTATTTTTCTCTCGAATAGAATGCTGTTAATCTATGGTATTATCAAAGTTCAGGGAATGTACATACAGGGTGAAAATTTGAAAACGAGCACCACACGATATTTCTTCAACTGATGACCTCATGAAAATTTTGCGGAAAACGTAAATTAACATATCAAGATGGACAACTTTTGAGGTATCTGTTGTTATATTTCATTCAACCCCTCCACCGTGAGGGCAACTAGTTCTGAAATTTCAAATGACATCCCCTAGTTATTTTGCAATTTTTGAAATCCGTATATGATTCCAGATAAGTCACACCTTTACATATATTTTCAATTTTTCGTCTTCGAAATTACAATGCTCAACCTTACGAATATGTGGATTTTACTTCATTGTGATAGTGAGAAAAATGATGTACAGTGTGTCCAGTTTTCGATGCTTTTGCGTGAAATCTCAGTTATCTTTGGAGATAGAACCTTTCAGTTTTCGCGGTCCTGTTCCACGTTTTTTGTGAAACTCAAGATGGCCTAATCAGATTTTGCATGACTGTTCCCGTTTATCAGATACAGGGCGATTTTGAAAATTTAGACCATTTGAACCATCTCTATATCTACGAAGTTCATCAGCGGAAACGTGAATTGAAATTTCATCCCATAGAGAATTTCACGAAGAATCCAGTGGCGCACTCAATTTATTTTTTCGTGGTTTGGTTTTGGAGATACGACTCAAACTCATGATTTTTCAAATAGAACATCCTGTATTTTATAAGCTCCAAAAATCACTAAAACATTGAATTTCAATAGAAGGCTATGGATTTTTCATATAAAGGAAATTCCAATTGAATTAATATTGCCTTCGATTGCTCCATGAAGGGGACAAAAACAATACGAACACTAATTAACTAACAAAAGACAAAACTCAGATACCTGATAGCAACAAATATATAGTAATAAAAAGTTCATAATGAAGAATAAGTACCTGATTGAATATTTACTAGAACAATTGAATTTCTAAATTATTTAGTGAAATCATTGGAGGATGTCTTTGTAATTCCTGGGAAACTGCCTTTGTGTGTCAATTGTGTGTTAGCTAGGAAAAATGAACATCGATTTGAACAATTCAATAAATGAGTTACTGAATAATTTCGAAATTAGATAGTTTTAGTAAATATTTAATCAGGTGCTTATACAGGGTGTCCAGAAATTATGCGCGAAAAATCAAGGGGGTGATTCTGCATGAGAAAACATGAAATTTATTTTATATATACTTGAGTCCGGAAATGCATAGTTTTCAAGATACAGTGTGTTGAACTTTTCAGAAAAAATCGTTTTTTTATGAATTTCTCGAATATTCTTTCACCAATCCTCTCGAAACTTGGTTATAAAATTGTTGGGGTCTACATTAGAGACAAGCATCTAGCTATACTGTTTCTTCTGTGGCTATCTGGATAACGAAAAAGTAATATTAGGGAGGAAATTATTATGAGAAAGAGAGCACTTTTTCTGAACAATCTAACCTTATTCGGCCTGAATGAACCTTCTTCCTAGATGATATTTTTTCGGTAGAATACTTGTGGAATCAATATCCTTTTCTCCTCGAAGTTAACCATACACACCGGTTCATTCATGTACGCGCTAGAATTCAGAGAGCTACCAGAGATGAATTATATAGCTAGACGCTTGTTCTATAACCACAAAGTGTTATAACTAAGAAATGAAGTTTTTGGTTGTGAAAATGGTAAATACGTAGTCAGTCAGTTATGTGGATGGGTCGGTCAGATGGTTTATTGAGAGATAAGTATTTGTCCTTGGCCAGCACTATTTTCAAGGGCATTTGCTGTTATATTATAAATCTAATGTTTCTATTATTCTATTCTTGAATAAGTTAACTACCAGGGCCATATCACAGGATAATTACAACCTTTAATGCTTCATCCGGAAGTCGATGAACAAGTTTTCTTCCAAAATCTTCATCTTTTGAATTCAAATTGATAATGAATATTTCCATCCTATTTATCATCAGACTTTTTCTTTTCAGATGAAAACACTATAGAAGTAAGCTCAGGATCAGGTTCACCAGATGACGAGAATGACTCAACCACAAAATTGGATGACGACGTTCACAGCGATGAAGAAGGTGATAGCTATGGATCTGGGAGCTATGAAAATGGTGACGAAGAAAACATTGACGATGAATACTTAGAAATTGTTTACACAGTTAGGATACCACCAACTACAATTTCGAATATCTCTGGAATGAATAATATTACAAATCCAGAACCCAAAAATATGTCTTCACAGAAGACGACTGCTGACATTGTTTCTACTTCAGTAGCTGCAAGGGAAAACTGGAAGGCTTTCGAAAGTACTACTAATGGTGTTCCATTCTCTTCACTAGGTATAGATCACAATATTTCTTCTAAAGAAATGACTACTGAAATTATTTCAACTTCAGCAGCTGCAACAAAAGGGTTGAGATCGACAGAAAACTATTCAACCCAGCAGCAAGTAACGGAGATTGAAAATGTAAAGAATAACATCGGTTCTGATTGTTTCTCGAATTTAGTGGCAAAATCTCGTTTGGATATTTACATTTCGCATACAATCATTATTGTATATAATTTAAGGTGCATATTCATGTTATCCTGATGGTTGTGTCATTTTTCAGAAATTGAAACCGTCTCAGTTTTGGTTCCCTAAGAAGCCGTTATATATAACATCGGTTATAGAAAATAGATACGGGGTGACCAGTTATATATTCTGACCAATTTTGACGATGCGAAGATCCGTGTCAATCATGAGAAGACCGAGCTGATGAATTTCATGGAAAAATATACCAACAGTACTATACACGGGGCTTTGCTTGTCAAAGACGCAAGGGTGACGGTCAACACCTCAGTGAATTACCTGGGAGTAGTGCTGGACAAGCGTATGTGCTTCAGGAGATAACATCACCAAATTAATTGTTAAAGGCCATGCAGCGATAAGACAGTTGTATCCATTGTTGGTCAGGAATTCCGGACTAACAATAGATGGAAAACTGCTCTTGTACAAGCAAGTGATGATACCTGTGATTACATATACGCTTGTCCGGTGTACTGTAGCGCCTCCTCCACTCAACTGAATAGGCTACAGGTGCTACAGAACAAGTTACTCCGAATCATTACTAACGGTAATAGATACACCAGAGTAGCTGACATGCATGCTCAATGCCATGATCTGCCCTTGATTGAAGATTACATCATTAACGTATCAAATAAATTTTATGAACATTACATTCAGAATAGCGAACTCACGAGAGATATAACGAGAATAAATGCAGATCATGACATCCGTAGGAAACATGGGCTGATATATGAGGCCAGCGATGTATTCAGGATTCAGGGAACTCCCTGAATAACTTTCCCTACTTCCCCTCACCTCTAATAGACTGACTCTAAGACAGCAAACAGCTGAGATGCTGAATTGAACGAGAACGATAGTCGTTTGGCCGGGCCGTATAGACTAAACGCTATGTGGCCCGTTAGTGTACCACGAAGCAGGACCCAAACAACTCAGCACGCCTATCGGCTAACAAAGCCAGTCTATTTGTCGATACGAAATCAGTCTATTAGATCCCAATCACTCTCCCACACCTATACCACCCCTCATTCCTCATAAAGTCTTTCACAGAGAATTTATAAAAGTTTGTTTTTCATTTTTAATTTCCAACACAAAAAATGCTAAATAAGAGAGAACAAGGTAGCAATCGACGATCAATCTTTTTTACCCTGGGCAACTCACTGACATGAGCTGGATTGGAAGTATACTCCTAGGAGTCAGCTCCCTCATAACTGTCATCAGGGTTGTTAGACAAAAATCATCGGCGAGGCCTGTATCGGTCGCCTCTGAGAGCTCCCTTGGAGGGTATTTTTGTGACGTATCTAAGTGTTCTACATCGTATGTTTTACATTTTTATCATGTCCAATGTCCTCTCTAGAAGATTTTTGTTTATACACCTTGTATTGTTAACATGCTTTTATTGAATAAATGGAATCGAAATGAAAATTCAAGAGAAGGTGAACCTGTATAAAAACATTATCAATATCGAAATAGACTAGTTCAAACCGCACAACAATAAATTGAATAGATTCGAAAATATGATCAGTTGGAATGGGTCAGAATATAACTGGTCACCCGGTATTTAATATGAAATTATAAAAAATCCTCTCGTAACATAGATACTCCTAGATGAATAGACAGGTTGTTTCTTCTGAACCGCACTTCAGACGTACTTACTTGGAATTCTAAAAATGACACTGATCCGAAAATTTGTTTACAAGATCATCGATAGAGTCCTGTTCCATGAAAATATTGCTGCACTTCCGGTTATATATATCAACCTCGATATCTTGAATGAACAGCTATTTTCTATTTTTTTCCTAGAGTGATAATCTTCGTCAGCCTATCGTATTTCTAAGTCTAGCCGTTTCGAAAACTGTTGAATTTGTTGAAATCATTCCAATTTACTACTTCCTGTTTGGAAATGTTTGAAATTTGGAAGAAGATTTATGAAATTTGAGTATTTTTTTTATGCAAAATCAGTTGGAAAAACACATCACCGCAAACCGTCGGTCCATTTGAAAGTTCAAAGAGTGCGGCAGCGCGGCCTGACATTCGTTTGATGATCTGTTCAACTGACTTTGCATAAACCATCATAAACTATACCCTCAACTATTTTTCTCTCGAATAGAATGCTGTTAATCTATGGTATTATCAAAGTTCAGGGAATGTACATACAGGGTGAAAATTTGAAAACGAGCACCACACGATATTTCTTCAACTGATGACCTTATGAAAATTTTGCGGAAAACGTAAATTAACATATCAAGATGGACAACTTTTGAAGTATCTGTTGTTATATTTCATTCAACCCTTTCACCGTCAGTGTTTTGCAATTTTTGAAATCCGTATATGATTCCAGATAAGTCACACCTTTACATATATTTTCAATTTTTTGTCTTCGAAATTACAATGCTTAACCTTACGAATATGTGGATTTCAGTTCATTGTGATATTGAGAAAAATGATGTACAGTGTGTCCAGTTTTTGATGCTTTGCGTGAAATCTCAGTTATCATTGGAGATAGAAGCTTGCAGTTTTCGCGGTCCTGTGCCACGTTTTTTATGAAACTCAAGATGGCCTGATCAGATTTTGCATGACTGTTTCCGTTCATCAGATACAGAATGATTTTGAAAATTTAGACAAATTTGAACCCTCTCTATATCTACGAAGTTTATCAGCGGAAACGTCGAATTGAAATTTCATCCCATAGAGAATTTCACGAAGAATCCAGTGGCGCACTCAATTCATTTTTCCGTGGTTTGGTTTTGGAGATACGATTCATCCTGTATTTTATGAGCTCATTGAATTCTTTTTTTTTCCTTCAAAATTATATATGATGTATGAATATAAAATTTCCAAAAATGTTCAAAAATCACTAAAACATTGAATTTCAATAGTATAGGCTATGGATTTTTCATATAAAGGAAGTTAAAGGAATATTGCCTTCGATTGCTCCATGAAGGGGACAATAACAATACGAACACTAATTAACTAACAGAAGACAAAACTCAGATACCTGATAGCAACAAATATAAAGTAATAAAAAGTTCATGATGTAGAATAAGTACCTGATTGAATATTTACTAGAACATTTGAGTTTCGAAATTTTTCAGTGACTTATTCATTGTATTGTTCAAATTTATGTCCAATTTCCCTCACGAACTTTCTCAATACGTATTAATGCATTCAAAATCATTGGAGGATGTCTTTGCAATTCCTGGGAAACCGCCTTTGTGTGTCAATTGTGTGTAAGGGAAAATAGACATCGGTTTAAACTCAATGTATAAGTTAGTGAATAATTTCGAAATTAGATAGTTTTAGTAAATATTTAATCAGGTGCTTATACAGAGTGACCCATTTGAAAGCGGGCCACCCCTGTATCTCACGTAATCGTTGGGTAAGGATCATGAAATTTGCTGGAGCGAGAGATATACCAAAAATGCACTCTATGACCAAGTGGTGTCATCCTCAGTTATATACACTGCTCGCCAACAGCCATGGAACCACCCCAATTTCCGGAAAATGATATTAGGAGTCAAAATAGGTTGAAAATCACTTCGGATTCGGAATCAGGACGCCCAATTCACTAACTCTTCATATTTTTCCTTGAAAATTTTCAGTTCTGAAAAATTAAATTTTGTCGCACTTTTCACCGAAGCACCCCCGTATCTCACGTAATTGACTTCATCTTTGGACTTTCCGTTCCTCCTGCAAATTTTAGAACCCTACCACAATAATTACGTGAGATACGGGGGTGCGCTTCCATGAAAAGTGCGACAAAATGCAATGTTTCAGAACTGAAAATTTTCAAGGAAAAATAAGAATAGTTAGTGAATTGGGCGTCCTGATTCCGAATCCGAAGTGATTTTCAACCTATTTTGACTCCTAATATCATTTTCAGGAAATTGGGGTGGTTCCATGGCTGTTGGCGAGCAGTGTATATCTCTGAAGATGACCCCACTTGGTTATAGAGTGCATTTTTGGTATATCTCTCGCTCCAGCAAATTTCATGATCCTTACCCAACGATTACGTGAGATACAGGGGTGGCCCGCTTTCAAATGGGTCACTCTGTACATATGCATTATGAATATTTCATTAGTATTCATTTGTTGCTATCAGGTACCCACATTTTGTGTTTAGTTAGTTCATTAGTGTTGATATTGTTTTTTTCCTCTCCATGGAAAAATTGAAAAAAATATATTTTTAATTAGCCCACTATCAAAATTCAATGTTTCAATGATTTTTTAGCATTTTTGAAAAATTCATATCTATACATATATATCATTTTGAAGGAAAGAGAATGAGGAATTCAATGAGCTCACAAAATACAAGGTGTTTCATTCAAGAAATCATAAGTTTGAGTTGAATCTGCAAAACTATACCCCGAAAAAATTTTTTGAGCACATCACTGGATTTTGAGTATTATTCTTCATAGGATACGATTTTGATTTGACATTTTTGCATAGATATAGAGGGGGTTCAAAAAGTATTAATTTTCAAAATCACCCTGTATCTCATGAACGGAAACTGTTATGCAAAATGTGATTATTGTGATTAGGTCATCTTGAGTTTCACAGAAAAGTGGCATAGGAGCGCGAAAACCGCAAGGTTCTACCTCCAAAGATAACTGAGATATCTCGCAGAAGCATCGAAAACTGGACACACTGTACATACCTCTAGTTACGTATCTCCAATATTTTGTGAGCAAAGGTACCGCCGATTTTCGAACTGTTCGCGGACCTCGAAGGTCTCTGGAATATCGGCTGTAATTGTGCTCACAAAACATTGGAAACCATTTTGAACAAGAATTGGTAAGGTTGAGTAGATTCTTCAAATTCAAAGGAAACAAATTGAAAATAGGTGGAATCTCATAACGACTTCAAGAATAGCATGTGTTGCCATTTAGAATCTCAAGGGTAGTCAGCCAGACGGTGAAGGGGTTGTGGATGTGATGTATAACAACGAATAGGTACTTCAAAAGTTGCCCCCCCCCCCCATTGATATACAAATTGAAGTATTTCGGAACATTTTCATAAAATTTTATCAATTATTAAAGAAATATTGCATGCTGCCCGTCTGAAATTGTCACCCTGATCTGTGGTATTACAGACATGATCGCCATTTTATCCAAATAGAGACTAGGGTCCCTCGATGTAAACTGACGTTTTTGTTATAAGATGACAAATACGTCAATTTACATCAAGGGTCCCTAATGAAGACAACAGTCTGGTTCACGCAGATTGAAATTCCGAATTTCAATGCTCAAATAATGTGACATTCAATCCAAAATACCGAGTTGAATCGTCTGTTCGCAATGATGTTGATTCGTATTTTTAGGTTAGTGCAGTGTTTTCACCAAATGAACCACACATGAACTTCATCACAAGCCTTTTTTTAGAATTCCATTGCATACTATCCCATTTATTATACCGTTGGATTTCGAATTTCGATATATTACGATCATATGCCAATAAATTGTAATGAAATTTTCTTGTTTCATTTCATACTCCAATTATCTATTTCTTCAATGTTGCCAGGATTCCTCAATCTTCATTGATAGTGAACATTTAATTTTGAATTTCTGAATATGTCTGCTCCACATTTCCGTCAATCAAGAATTTTCCAATTTAAATTTGTTTGAAATTTATTTCATTATTCTTAGAGATGAAAAGGTGGAAGGTTCTCAGGTTATAACTGAACTACGTATATTTGAATTAAGAATACTACAATACTTATAAAGCACAAAGATTATTATTAGGAGACAGAATGAACTGACACAATTACTATTTTTATGTGACATTAATCATTCATGTCAAGATACAGAGTGTCGGATCTCTTGAATGCAGACCACGACTCGTATGAACTCAATCAGGATTTCTAACACTTCCCCTCGAAGAGTGGTCCAGTCTTGCAATCTTCCACTGCAAAGCCCAACATCTTCATACATCTGGTATGCTTGATTCTAGGTAGCCCTTTAGTCAGTATGTCTGCCACCATATTGTCTGTTGAGACATGTCCAATTTTCAATTGTTTCTCTTTCAATGCATTTCTTATGAAGTGGTGTCTTAAATCAATATGCTTACTTCTAGCATGGAAAACTGAATTTTCTGCAAGTTTTAGAGCTCCCATATTATCATTATATACTGTAATATCAGTCAATTCTTGAAGATTCAGTTCTGTGAGGATTCCACGAAGGTAAATGGTTTCTTTCGATGCTTCCGTCAACCCCATATATTCGGCCTCAGTTGATGATAGCGCCACGGTTCTCTGCTTTTTCGATTCCCATGATATTGGACCTCCATTCAAAATAAATACATATCCGCTGTAAGATCTTCGATCTAGTAGACAACTCCCCCAATCCGCGTCGACAAAACCTTTCAATGGTTCAGAGTCAGGAGTGAATGTTATTCCTACGTTTATTGTTCCTTTCAAATAACGTAGAATTCGCTTAGCTCCTATCCAGTGACTTTTTCCAAAACATGTATTAAATTGACTCAAAGTACTAACAGCAAAACTTATGTCTGGTCTCGTGGTAACGGCTAAGTATGTCAAAGCACCTATCAATTCTCTATAGGGCAGTTTTCTCTCTTCTTCACTAGGAGTTTCATTTCTCATGAATTTAACGTTAGGATCCATGGGAGTACTCAGGCTATTTGACTCCGTCATTCCAAATCGATTGAGAATATCTGTTATATATCCTTTCTGATTCATGGATAATCTTCCCCTTTCATGAGAGAATTCAACACCAATACAATATCCAATTTTTCCTAGCTGCTTGATCTCGAAATGTTCCGACAATTTTCTTCCAAAATCATCAATGACCTTCGAACTTTGAGAGGCGATGAGTATATCATCGACATATATGGTTACTAAAGTGATGTCTTCCCCTCCTTTGATATGATACAGACATGGATCAAAATTGCTTCGACTCAGTCCGAGCGATTGTAGCACCTGATCCAGCTTGATATTCCAGCTTCTACCAGCTTGTCGTAAACCATACAACGATTTCTTAAGTAGGCATACTTTATCACCATGATCTACTTCTTCAAGCATTCTAATTGCTGCTATTCTCATATCACTACTAGGTTCGCTCTCAATTAAAATTTCTAATATGTCATTCAGGAGTTTTGGTGGTTCCATGAAAATGTCTTCTTCGAGTTCTCCGTTCAGATACGCACATGTCACATCAAATTGATGTATTTCCATGCCGAAACGAACTGCTAACGATGCAAGTAGTCGAATTGTACTCATTCGTGCTACTGGTGCAAACGTTTGATTAAAATGTATTCCTGGTTGCTGATTAAATCCCTGCGCAACTAGTCTAGCTTTTCTCCTCTCAAGAGTACCATCGGCATTATATTTATTTCTCAAGATCATACGGCTTCCAATCACCTCTTGGTTTCTAGGACGATCTACCATTTGCCAGGTTTTATTTTTTATGAGGGACTTCACTTCAGCAGCCATAGCTTCGTACCATTCTTGGGCGTCTGGACTAGATAATGCTTGCTTCATGGGAACTTCTGATAAAAATGCGTATTCTTGTTCTTCCACATTCCCAACTCGTTCCTCTACAATTTGGTACATTTTTCGAGGTCTTCCTCTTGAACCAGTTCTTACTAGTCTAGGTCTCCCACGTGCTATTCTGTGAATAACTTCTCCAGATATTTCCTCTGGTATATCATCAGGTACTTCTTCAGGTATATCCTCAGATAGTTCTCCAGGTGCATGCTCGGGTACTTCTTCTTCTTCACAAATGTTTCTCTGTTGTACTTGTTCATGTTCTATACTTTCTAATGGTTTGATTTCTATACAAACGGTACGAGTATTATCGAGTGGTTCCCAAGGTGATTCCTGAATATTATTCTGAATAATACCTCCACAGTGAGTAAAATTTCTTGAATTTTCTGAGAATTTCACATCTCTAATTATTTCAATTCTTTTTTCGTTTGTTATCCATACCCTATAGCCTTTGCATTGTTCTGAATACCCTAGGAAAACTCCCTGTTTACATCTGGAATCAAATTTGCCTTTACTTGGTGTTCTATTGAGGCAAAATATACGGCAACCAAATTCCTTAAAGTGGCTAACATCGGGTTTCTTTCCAGACCAAACTTCAAATGGGGTTTTTCCATTTAGGCTCTTTGTTGGACAACGATTACGAATATAATTGGCAGTATTGACAGCTTCCGCCCAAAATGATGAAGATAAGCCGGATTGCAATAGAAGACATCTTGCAGTTTCAACAAGTGAACGATTTTTTCTCTCGGCGATTCCATTTTGTTCGGGATTGTACGGAATGGTTAATCTTCTAGTGATCCCATGACTTTTGAGCATACTATCAAATTTCTTACTGGTATATTCACCCCCATTATCAGACTGAAAACATCTGATTTTCTTCCCCTTCTGTCTTTCAACAAGTGCAATAAAATCGTGAGTTGCTTGAAAAACTTCATCTTTAGACTTCAGAAAGCGTACTTCACACCATCTAGAGTAGTCGTCAATAAATTCCACAAAGTATTTTGCTTTACCAATAGACTCAACTCTCATAGGCCCACAGATGTCAGTGTGAATAATTTCTAGCATTTCTGTTTCTCTATCAGACTTCTTAGGGAATTGGGTTCTTGTCATCTTTCCATGTAAACAGACACTGCATTCTAAATTTCTATCGAATTGGCCAAGTTCCAGACCACTGATTGATTCTTTCTTAAATGCTTCAATCAAATCTTTGAAATTCAAATGTCCAAGACGACGATGCCATAATTCAATGTTCTGTGATGAAGTTCCTGTTCTGAATGCAGAATCAGATGTGACAGTCTGATTCGAAATCTCCCATTCTTCCTCACGAACATAGAATAAATCTCCTCTTCGATCTGCTACAAGTTTGACATTTCCATCACTTCCGAATACCAATGCATTGTCGTTCGTGAATAAAACTTCATAACTATTCTGTGTTATTTTTCCAATAGACAATAAATTAGTTCGTAATTCTGGCACATACAGAGTATTATTCAGAAAAATATTCTTGTTCTCACCAAACACATTGACCCCAAATGAAACTGTTCCAGTTGCTTTTATATCAGTCGAAGCATCGCTGGCTAGGTTCAATTTTCCATGTTCAGTTTTAATTATTTCTGAAAATTTTTCAATATCTCTGCATAAATGTGATGTTGCCCCACTATCCAAACACCATTCATGATTTTTATTGATCGAATTAACTTGGAAACATACATTTTCAGCTAATTTTACAGTTGGATCAATCTTCTTCTTTTGACATTCAATCGCCTTATGTCCATGTTTTTTACATTTGTGGCAACGGAATTTGAATGGACCTTTCCCGTTCGCGCTGGAACTTGCACTACTTTCAAGCTGTTCTGACTTTTCACCTTTATAGCGTCTCCAGTTACCAAATTTTCTATTCGCAATCAATGCGTTCTGATTGATACTCCTTGCCTCGCTCTGTCGAGCGTCATTTTCTTCGATTATTTTCACACGAAGTATTTCAGGGGACGGCAATTCATCTCGGGATTCAATCGCACAGCGAAAATTTTCGAAACTGGCTGGTAAACTATATAGTAGCATTATAGCTAGCAAATCGGGATTTATTTCAACTTCAAGCTCATTCAACTTGTCAACTGCGTCAAAGAATTTATTCACATGTTCACGTACGTCGTTTCCTTCTTCCATACGTTGAAGTGTTAACTGCTTTAACAACGTGGCTTTTCTGGCTGGACCTTTCGATTGATAAATACTTCTCAATTTCAACCAAACATCGTGTGAACTTGAACATCCCTTGATCTGTTTCAACTCCGAAGGACTTATTGAAAGTATTATATCTGCTTTAGCCTTGCCATCGTTCTTGATCCAAAGATCTAGAGCTACTTTAGAATCCGGGTTATTTTCAACCAAAACAGGCTTCTTCCACTCTCCATTCACATATGACCACGCATCGTTCTTGATTAGTAGAGCTTCCATTTGCATTTTCCACGTGTCATAATTTTCTTTAGAGAGCGTTTCAATTCTGGACATGTTTCCTGTATTCATCTTTGTTTCTTACTTTACAATTCACGCTTCTCGTCAATTATACTGGAACAACAGTATCTCCTTATTCCTACTGGTGTTCTGGGCCCATAACCTCTTAGAGATGAAAAGGTGGAAGGTTCTCAGGTTATAACTGAACTACGTATATTTGAATTAAGAATACTACAATACTTATAAAGCACAAAGATTATTATTAGGAGACAGAATGAACTGACACAATTACTATTTTTATGTGACATTAATCATTCATGTCAAGATACAGAGTGTCGGATCTCTTGAATGCAGACCACGACTCGTATGAACTCAATCAGGATTTCTAACAATTATCAATAAGGTTGTCTTTCCATTTTTGTTCCAAATTGGTTGTCCCTTACATATTCATTGTAGGTACGATGGATAGATGGTCATCACACATGTTGAGGAAAAAATTCTGAATCGAGGAAACCTAATCACGAATCTGTGACTAGAGGTCTGTAAAAGCAAATTTCTATGGTTCGAAATGGGATTAGGTATAAAGATATTGAGAAGAAATATTTTCAGATATATTAGGAACATGGCAAAAATTTATTCACATACAGGAATACTCTCTTTGTTATAAAGAAATACATCGATAATTCGCATTATCTATCTTTCTCGGTATATTGAAGAGGTTCAAACTTGAACGATGGGAATTTTCTTCTAAATATACCTCTCATTACAGTGTGGTGATTGAGATTTCTTGATTAAGAATTTATTTTCACGTCCTGGAGTCATGAACATCCATTCATCGTATACAACTAAATAAAACTTACCCCAGATGAGAGGGGTATGTGAAAAATAATTCTTATATTTGAGTTCGTTATAGCTTTAGTCATATATTAGGAATATGAAAATTGTGTGTTTTATGCAGAATAGCTAGAATAATAACTAGACTTGAGTATAGTGGTGCCCGCGAGAGTCTCGTTTTCGAGAGTCTCGCATGGTCTCGTCTCGTTTTCGAGACAAGACTCGAGACGAGACTCGGGCAAGACGAGACGAGACTTTTATTGGTCTCGTCTCGAGTCTCGTGCAAGACTTCTCGTGTCTCGTGCGAGAGTCTCGCAGGTAAATATTTCTGCGTGCCGACTGCAGACTTGAGAATCTCATTCATATAATACAACATACTCAGAAAGAATTCAGACTATTTATCACAGATAGACAAAAAATTTCATTCATAAATACCTTAATAACACAATCTATGATCTCTTATGGCGGCGGAAAATGAAGGCAATTCTGCAATAACGACAGATCGCAAATTGAATGACTACCTAAAAATCTATGAATGGGTCATCCTGTGCTAAATAGTCTGAGATAAAAACTAACTTTGTTTTGATGGGAGTATGGATGCAGGAAATTGAAGGATATTATTCTGTGCCTCGGTGTAATAAAAACACAGATATTATATTGCAATATGGTGGAAAATTCATGCTTCTGAATTTCCCATGTTCCCAAGTTTGATGGCACGAGATCTCTTAAGCATACCGGCTACTTCAGTTTTCTTGTTATAGATGTATGATGTAAGTATGTACTTACTTTTCAATAAATAATGTTATTTTTTGTAATTTTGTCTTCCTACTTCTACATTATACCTAGAAAGGAGGTAAAGGTAAATATCCCGTACTAGACTGGAACAAGATTATGCATGACGTAATTGCGATACATCTGCGAGACTCTCGTACGAGACCCGAGACAAGACGAGACTGGAGGCTGCGAGAAGAGACTAGAGACAAGACTTCATATTTCATCAGCGAGACGAGACGAGACTTTTGAAAGTCTCGTCTCGTTAGTCTCGTGTGAATCACTAGACTTGAGGTTACTGAAGAGGCTTTGATACCCGAAATGAGTTCATTCGAATGAAGTCATATTAACCTGTTCGCTGTTCGTGAGAGATGTATCCCCAACATCACTAATACGTACGATTTTTGGAAGCTTCAAGATCATCAGGATCAGACATTCTACAAGGATACTTCTCCTGTACATTTTCATTTCCATTTCAATTCTGAATATAATGGTAAGTTGAATTTTTATATCAATTTACATAATATCATTTATCCGATACGAGAGACAATGTCAATTCTCAATTCCAGAAGATTTTCATTTTTATATCCTCATCTTGGGTGTTCAACAAATGTTATTCAACGTCGACGAGGCAAATAGCCAGGAGAGGAGTTATTTTCTGTTGAATATTTCGAATGATATTCTATGCATATATATTATTATCCGAAAAATAATACAAATTCTCAACTTCCGGTTATTTTATCCTCAAATTCTAATTATGTATGTTCAATAGATGTAATTCAATTTACGTCGTGGCATATACAGGGTGTTAACAAATAAATGTCACAACGGAGAACTGTAGATTCCTCATAATAAAAGAAACATTTCTTTCCTCTTCTAAATTTTTTTCTAGGCTTCCGTTCTCAAGATACAGGGCGTCAAAAAATCAAAAATATTTAGTTCAAATAAACACACTTTAGAACACTTAATAAACTTGACAATTTGAAAACCAGCTTCGAGACCAGCATACTCAAGAACCTGACATTTGATAGGACATATTATCAGACAGTTCTGAGGTGTTTATTTCCGGTGGATTTTCGGATGATTCTTGAAGATACCATCAGGATTTTGTGTGTAATTATTCATGAAGAGCCATTTTTCGCGAATACTGTTCACTTTAGAGCATTAAGACAAGAGGACTTTTCATGTGTGAAAGATATTGGCACTCCAGAATCTACTTACATTACAATTTTTTCAGTCGCATAAATGTTTGGGAAGTTAAACCCTTGGGAGGCTTTGAATTCTCCCTCCATCGACATGTCCAAGGAAATTGATCAAGAGCCCTAAAAGTAGTCATTATTGATGCTGAAGTGTGTACGAAGGCTTAACTTCGTAGCTCAAACGGTTCCTGAGATAGTAGCAAAAAAGAGATTTTTTTGTATTTTTTTGACGCCCTGTATCTTGAAAACGGAAGCCCGGAGAAAAATTTTGGAAGGGAAAAAAATGTTTCTTTTTTCATGAGGAATCTATACAGTATTCCGTTGTGACACTTATATGTTAACACCCTGTATATCTAGAGAAGTAGTTGTTTTCGACTGTAACTAATTAATTTTTCCATCAGATACCTAATGCGAATTCTCAATGTATTCCTTGTTATGTAGATATCCATTTTTGTCATGTTCCCAATATATTTGAATATATTTCCTTTCAATTGGAGGGTGGAGGACAAAACTATAAATGTCACAATATTTTTGTTTTGAGATATTCGCATTCCACCAATTGAACACCGGATAAAAATTACAAAACAAAAGTGTAAAAACACATGAAGGAACTCTGTGCGTATTCCTAATATATTGTCTCTCAATTGCTTTGAAACTGGCTTTCTTCAGTTGGTACTGCCACCAAAATTCATATTGGAAAGAATTTTATGGCGAAGGCGACATTGAATAATAAAATACTGAATATTATAGTTATTATTATATTGGACCCCACACTTTTTCTACATAAAAATATTGTTCTGTCGAATTCTCTGAATTTCTGGTATATTATAGAACTCGACCTAATGATCAGATATGCCGAGTTCCAATCCGATCCTATGACCAGTTTTCGAGATACAAGGTGTTGAAGTTGAGAAATGCCCCCTTTTCATCTACCCATATCTCCAAGAAAAGACAAATGAATCAGAATTTTCTGCTAGCAGTTTTTCAGTTTAACCTTAAGGTACAACAACCATGTACAGAATCAACCAAAGCTGATCTTTATCACAGGGTGATTCCCATCTGAATTATTGTGTAATTTTCAATTTCTAAATATCGATACAACTTGATAAAAATTACAAAATGAAAATTATCATCCGATATGTTCTTCTTACATCAAATGGATTCATTATATGTATTGATTATACATGGTGATTCGTGAATGCTGATGTTTAGAAAATAAAGTTTAATGAGCCACCTCGTATTATTGGGTTGATTCAGGCTATTGATTATAATTTTCTTCAACTACAAAAAAATATTAAAAAACCACTGTGTTTTCCATCACCCTCTAATTTCAGATTTTCACTGTTGAGGTCAGAGACAATACATATATAGTTGTAAATAAAAATATATCTGTGCACTGAAATTGAAATTTGGCATTATAAAACTCTCAATAGAAAGCCATATCTCATAATATATCTATCTCTCACATTCGTCAAGAATTTTTCTTCTTCTGATTTTTTTTTTCTTTGTTTTCAATACAGAGTATAGTTCTGATTACGTTGAATGCTACAATGATATCTATGTTCATTTCTATAATTGTTAGGTTAAAGTGTAAGAATAGTTTTATACTAAACTTTCGCCTAATAAAGACCTATTATTATTCTTATTATTATTATTATTATTAAGGATGATAATGGAAAAGGTTGAATATTAATTTTATCGTCAACAACCAGTATCCCGATAACTGTGGTCCGAAACAATTTTTCATCTATCAGAGTGCACGAAAAGGAATCCCCATGATGTTTCAAGAACATCGTGCGTACTTAGGGAGGATAGGGAGAGGAGGTAGGTATTTTGGAATTGTCTTCGAAGCTTTGGAATTTATACGTTCATATGTTTGCGAGTACTTCATATCGCCTACTAATTTTTTCGATAAAAATCTGAAACACCCTGTATAGAATCCACTAATACGTAATCTTATACTAGTGCAGGGACCCTGTAAATTCGGTTGTAGAAATCCCAATAGTGACGAAAAACGAATTTGTTTCACGATGGCATATCTTGATAAAATATTCGAACATCTGAATAGATCTGGAAGGGGAAATCAAATACGATCCGAGGTTAGCGAAATAAAAAATGTGCAGAATATGAATAGTCAATAGTATACCCTGTCTACAGTTAGCCTTGGAGTATATTAATATTTGAATTGGGCCGACTATTTATTGCGATACATTAAATTCGATAGGTGTGATTGGTACCTTCCCTTCATCAAAGCATATATCTTATCTGCCAAATAGCCAGTGAAGTTATATCCTGCTTTGTAGTTGAATAGTGAGTAAAACTTATACGTATTATAATCATGTGAATTAGCAAATAATATGAAGAAAATAGTATTTTAAAGTTTATTTGTGGCATGTTTGTTTGTTCGGTGAATATCAAGCGGAGTGGGTTCGACAATTATTATACAGGGTGTTTCAGATTGAAATGCACATACGATACCTGTAGATAGAGGACCTGTGATGGTTCAAAATCAGTCCCCATTGATGTGTCTACCGTCATTTATAACTGGGATACAAGACGTGATCTGGATTTTTGCAAAATCATTTGAACCACTCCGTATAATCTATCCATACTTGGTAGGAATATTTTACTCATATTACCCATCGAAACTAAATGAAAGTCTGGATCAGAATTCTGGTCTCGGGGAAAATATTTTTTTTTTATTTCAAAAACATCACACTGTATGTCAAAATTTTGTAGATCTGTTTCAAAATGAAAAAAGTGATCTATTTTTCACGAGCGCGCATTCAATTTAACAAATAATTTATTAAATACTGTCTGTAGGTTAATCGAAGAGGTTGGTACATTCATTCATTATTCCTAATTTTTTGGAATTTTCTCTCCTCGTTACTATAAACGTGTAGTAGATGATTTGTCCCAAAATTTTCCTATCAGAGAGCCCGAAAGAAAAATTCACTTACTTGTCAGTGACAATTTGTATTGAGAAGAAAAATGAAGGTATATAGGAAAAATATCAAATTTTCACTTATCTCTGGACGTTTCGGGACCGAATCTGCACCCGTTTTCAACATAAAAAATGATTATTTCAATAGCAAAGTCGAATCTGTTTTGAAGCTTCTCAGTTTTTAGTGAGAAGCTTCAAGACAGATGTTGCCATACAAAGTGTTGTTTTAACATATAGTTATCTGTTTTTCCTCAAGACGGACATGGATTCTGATCTCGATTATCATTGAGCTTTGATATGTTATGTATAAGTGGTATATCTTCACCAAGTATGAATAGATGATACGAGGTGGTTAAAAAATTATGATCATATGGAGATTTTGCCTAATTCAAAATAACGTCCTGTATCTCAGTTATGAAACTCGGTATAGACACATCAATGGGGGATGATTAGAAAACCGTCGAAGTGTCTCCTATCTGCAAGTATCGTATGTACATCGAAGTCTGAAACACCATGTATACCAGTGTTGAAACCTATCATGCAATAAAATCCGTATTTTCCTTACAAAAATTCATGTTGAAAAGGAATATTCTCAGATGAATCATGAACATGAAAAAATTGATATATATATATATTTATATATATATATAAAGAAATAAATAGAGAATTCGCATTCTTTATGTCATGAAAATATCACTCCTTTCTCGGCTTTTCCGAAAAATATATATTTATGTATGTATTATCGTTGCCTCCATTTTTTCACTTCCACGTGAGTACATAACCTAAGTTATAACTTTTGTAACTATAAAAATCTTTTCTTTGTAGAAATTGTCTTTAAGAAAATGCTTTTGCTGATGATGGACTAGTGATAGTTCGAAACATGTTCAGACACTGCATGATAATTCAGATAATAAATTTGTGGAGATTAGTGTGTCTTGCTTATGAATGTCAACAGTGGTGAAATATTGAGGTATATAGATGATCGTTAAGTGAAATGTTAGCATTTTTGAGTTTGATGATTTCTAATAATTCAAAATGATTGAGTTTCATTCCTTTATTTCCTACGTGGAGCATTTCTCAATTATTATCAAAACTCTGGTTTTCTTCTGATATATGGTTGGCGTAGGTCGAATTTGTTTTCTTTTTAAAAAAGTTCATTTTATGTTCATGAATGCGCTGATTCAACGTACGACCTGTCTAAACGATATATACCTCAGGACTAGATCCACAGTTGAGTTTGTATACCTCTGATTTTTCGAATTCAGAAGTTTTTTCCGTATCTTATTATTTTTGATAAACCTTCCCAACGTGTTATTTGTTGTATATGCTATTTTTAAGTCCTGTTTATGAAGAAATTAAGCTAGTTTTCTATGGTTGATGATCCTGAATGGGTTAAAGTTTTATAATTTTGATTAATTGCGTTTGACAAATTTTCTCGTGTCCAGTTGCCACGTGTATGTACAGCTCTCCTTATCTATTTGTTTGGCATATGTGAATCAGGATATGTTTGATAGGTAACACAATCGAAATATTTATGTTCATTCAGTACACTGAGGAAAATTGTGCTATTAGAGTTTTTGCTGATATATTTCTTGGTACCATTACAAGAAATCATATTTCCGTTATACATTTTCGAATAGAAACAGCACCCTGAAATCCTATGATAGCAATAACGACTTTGCTGAAAGTGAATTTCCTGCCACAGGAAGGTATACTGCTGTCGCTATCAGGCAGCCACTCTGGGACAGCATGATTTTTTTATAATTGTCTAGCTGAACCACTACTAGTCAGTCATATGCTTGTGACTGCGAGGTTCATCGCATAGAACTGCACTCACTACCAATAATAGAACTGTCAGTCTGCAATATTTGACGAACCTACTTGGGGTTATTCAGCGCCTACTTATCGTTATTCGATATTCTGCTGATTTGTCCCCCTCTATGTAAGCATTTGTCAGACATCTTGCTTGATCAATCATTCACAGTTGGGCTCTTGATGCAAACCCATGTACAGGACGACAATCTCGACGACACGACAGTTACGAATACTTCCCCTCTTGAATTCAATCCATTATTTAACATGTGAATCTGAATTCAAATATGAAATGGAAACATTCTTGAACAAATAAAATAATATTCTGTGTCCCTCTCAGTGCTTTCGAAGATCTGAGTGCTTCAGTTATTATCAGGATTGACGGAATGATGAAAGTGTGTTTTCCCGAGGTACATATTTCGCTAAAAGTCAAATATTTAACATTCAACATTTCCTTATTTTTGGTACCACGAAACTTCAAAGTTGTCAATTATGTTCCAGAGCTTCTCTATAGAATGTGGTCTTAAAACTTATTGTGAGCAAAAATGTTCAGGTTATGAAATTATTTGAATGATTTTACCCAAGTAGCACACATATATTGGGACAATATCGGTGCAATATTACGAAAATATCGGCAATATATTGTGAGAGTAATATTGGCGAGAAAAAAAATGTGAACATTCGGCGATATTGGTACAATATCAGTTTCCAAATGTGGGTAGAATATTCTCATATTAATATTGGTTGAATATTCGTAGAGTTATATCGGACACAAAATGTAATATCAATATTGGCGGGAAATTAATGGTGAACATTCGGCAATATTGGTGTGATATATGGAAATATCGGTGAATCATTGAAAATCAACATGAAGGTATGTTGTCTCAGAAATATTGGTAGAATATTCTCATACCAATATTGCTGGAATATTCGTGAAGTTATATTGGTCACAAAATGTGATATCAATATTGCTGATAAATGGACAGTGAACATTTGACAATACTGGTGCAATATTGGTTGGAAATATTGGTACATCATTGAAAATCATTATGTAGCTATGTTGTCTTCAAAATGTTGGTGGAATATTTTCATACCAATATTTGCGAGTTATTCGCATCAGGAATAATCACAAAGGTCTGCCCAGCCGGAGTGCAATGGAAGGGCCTTGCATTGGGGAAGCCTCCTTGTTGATCACGGTTAACCCCTACTCCAGGTTATAATACTTCACAATCGTCTAGAGTTAATATTTATATTCTCTCGTCTGATCGGCAATGGGAGTACGTTACCAATCATTTATCGCGCCATCTATCGAAATCCATTTGGGAGTGCGTAATATGGAATAAATATCGAAATTTCGATATCGATATATATTCTCGAAACAATATGTGAACAATATTGCTCACATGATATAGTGAATCACATATCAGCCAATATAAGATGATATTATTTTCTGAATATTGCTAGAAAACTATTCACCCGATATGCAATTGAACTTGAAATTACAATATTGTTTTTCTCTTCTATGTCCGATATGAGATATATATTGAATTGCTGTTATTGATATTCATATTTGAATCATTGAAAACCCCTTCAGAATCGACATGGGGAGAATGTTCAAATTGCGATATTGGTTATGATTGTTGGAAACAATATGTATACGATATTTTCCGCATGATATCAATTGAAACAATATTCATCCAATTTGCCGTCGAATCCGATTACACAATATTGTATATCGTCTTCAGAATCGAAATGGGGAGAATGTTTGAATCGCGATATTGGTTATAGTTGTTGGAAACAATATGTGTGCGATATCTTCCGCACGATATAGTTGGAATGATATCAGTCAATATTGGTGAATACTATGTTCCAAATATTGTTGAAACAATATTCTACCAATATGCCGTCGAACTTGAACATACAATATTTCATAACCGCTTCAGAATTGACATGGGGAGAATGTTCAAACTGCTATATTGGTTATAATTGTTGGAAACAATATGTATACGATATTTTCCGCATGATATGGATAGAATGATATCAATCAAGATAGGTGAATATGATATTTCGAATATTGTTGAAACAATATTCAACCAATATGCCGTGAAACTCAAATATACAATATTGCACAACCGCTTCAGAATCAACATGGGGACAATATTCAAATCGCGATATTGGTTATAAATGTGAGAAGCAAATTGTATACGATATCTACCGCATGATATAGATGAAATGATATCAATCAAGATGGGTGAATATAATGTTTCAAATATTGTTAAAACAATATCCAACCGATATGCCGTTCAACTTGAATATACAATATTGCATAACCGCTTCAGAATCGACATGGAGAGAATGTTCAAATTGCAATATTGGTTGTAAATGTCGGGAACAATATGTATACGATGTTGTTGTATCGACATTCGTAAAACAATATTATATAACATTCATAGATATGTTTTTCAACACATTGTCAACGAATTTTACAAACTATATTGCTCCAATATTGTAGCTGACAATCCATATTCAGCTCAGGTTGCACCAATATTCCACC